ATTTTCTTCTAAAGAGGCTGAATATTCACTAAGGTGGAGATTTGTTTGGTAGGCGCATATACCGGGTGATGCATATCTCCTAAGGTGTTGGATATTCGCCAAGGTGGAGAATTGTTAGATATGGCTCATATCTGGGGAGTTGGAGTTTCTTTTGAAGAGGCGTGTCTCCTGGTGAAAAGGAGTGTCTCTTGAAATAAAGGGGGTTGGGAGGAGCGAGGGCGTGATTGTAATTTTACCTGAGGGTCTGTATATGTCTATTTATATGGGAAACCCTATGGGATGTAATTGAACTTCTCTGAAATAGTGAAACCGCTGCTCGCTCCCGAGGACGTAGGCAATTCTTTGCCGAACCTCGTTAAATCTCCGTGTTCTTCTAGTTTGTGTCGATTCCTGTTTTATTCCGCATTAAATTTTCACAACAAAATATTGGGTACTTGAAGTGTCAGGCAGAACACTGTTACTTCATCATACAATTCAATAATTGTTATATCGTGTTTTTATTGTATGTGGATGACATGTTAATTGTAGGGACAAATATGAAGAAAACCAAACTTTTCCACTTCTCTCAAAATTTTGGCCCTCTCTTAAGATTTCAAGATGTCCAAACACTCAAGGGGGGTTTCCACTTCTACATCCAGAAGATAAGATGCAAGAAGTTTTAATACTATGCAGCGCCTGAAAGGTATAATAAAATATTTGCTTTGAAACTATATTTTCCCAAGTGAGGATTCAAGGATTCTAAAGGTCTGATCCATGCAATGATAATTTCAAGGAGACGGCAAGTTTTTGAAAGGTAGCTTGAGGCTACCCTGATATTGGTGATAAGGGAACTTTATAATGCAAATAAGCATCTTGATGATCATGCATTTGTTACAGGCAAACAAGTTATATTTAGCCCAAACTAGATCAAAGATTATTGAGGCCAAGTTGAAATACCAAATGAGATGTACTTGCATTCCCGATTATGATAAGATCATTTGTGCCTTTATAGAACTTGGAGCTCAGTGGAAAAGATAAGAACGTATGATCATGATTTTTCTTTTCGTATGTTTAATTGCCACATTGTAGCATGGTACGTTCTAATTTCGACCAAGCTGCTTCCAAGTTTATCGATGTGACCAAGATGAGAGCAATATTGAATTTCACAATTGATTAGAATATGATGACTGACGTCGGGAGAAAAATCCATGCTAACAACCTCCACAAGACAAAACCAAGCACACATGGCGGATTGGGATAGTCTTCAATTTATGGCATCTAAATCCAAACAGGGTACCCACGAGTGCATCCAAAGATATGGTATGCTCAAACTCCACAATTAAAAATAGAAAATTTCAATAGATGGGACGTTGTGGAAGGCAACAGCATACGCAAGAAGAGGAACTTCTCGATGCACCTGAACCAAAAGAGCCCGTCGCCACTCAGTGTCAAGTGATGATCTCTACAAAGATAAGGAGGCTCACTTTAAAAATCTCAACAATGAGATGAAAGGATTGGAGAGATGATAGTGATTTGAAGAGCAGCACTAGAATACAAACTTTAATTATCTCATGGAGACCAAAAGGCAGCACTATGATTATATAGGACTTCACTTTAGGATATATATTCACATGAAGGGCAAACTCGATAAACATATAATTCAAAGAAATATACCTCATGATTTGGGCATCAGATCATGAATAAATTTAAGTGATCGTGCTGGTTAAAGTCTTGATAGCTCAATTTTTCCAAGAAAATTATTAACTAAGATGACTATTAGATTCCGCTGCTGGAAGAGGATGCCTTCTCAAGAGTTTGTCAGAACATAAATTGGGTTTCAAAAGAGGAGATCAAAGCATTTAAAGAAGGTTAACTGAATAAAACTTTAGATTATAATTTTTTTTTACATTTATTTATTTGAAAAAGTTGTATTTGAATTTAAATTCCGCATCGTTTAGTTCGAATTTTTCTACATTAATGTCTGTAGATAGGAGTCCCTCTTTCTATCGTTACATTTATTTATTTGAAAAAGTTTTTATCATAACTATATTTGCTGATTTAAAGGCTTGAGTTCCTGTACAAAAATAAAAAATAAAAAATCAATATAACTTGCTTGAAAAATAATCTAGTCTTCTCTCCCCCTCCCCCTCTCCCTCCC